CCCCCCCCCCCCCCCCCAGGCAAGCAGGTGACGTCGCCTGCAAGCTTAGGTGGCACCTTCGGGACCTAGCCCGTTATAGGCAGTTAGGGCCGTGGTCTGGCACAGGCAGAACACCAGGGTCCATACCTGTTTCTCACATGGAACTTGGCTGAATACCTGAGGAGGTTTCATCCCTCACCTGGCCGCCCCTCACCCCACCTTCCACCACTAACACCCAGAGACTCGGGAAAGGGAAGCTGAGATGAGGAGGACATGGTGTGGCCCAAACCTAGGGGGAGATGTCCCCCGAGACCTGGCTTTCTCGGCCTCTTGTCCTCACATCACATCCCCGTGGTAAGGAAACATCCTGCTGGACATTTTAGGGTTTGAGCATGGCTGGATTTTTGGCTTTGTCTTGTTGGGACTTTCCGACGGCGGGAGTTCTGAATTCCAGCCGTCACAGTCTGTTCTCTGATCTCAAGAATGCAAAACCTCTTCTTTTTTTTTTGGCTTTTAAAGGAAACAATATGTTTGCTAGAAAAACCACAAAAAAACAAAACAAAACAAAAAAACGGATTATATACAAAACGGTTATCTGGATGTAGACTCTGTACTGCGTGAGAGCGACCGAGCGCCGGTGTCTATTTGCGCTTCCTCAGGATCAGGTACATGAGGCCGCTGATGAAGGTGAAGGCGAAGGCCACCCAGGCCAGGATGAAGGAGTAGCCGTACGTGCCTTCTGCGGTCAGAGTATAGAAATGCCAGTTGTGGTTGTGAATGTCTTGGCGTCGGTCTGTGTAAATGGAAGCTGCAATCATGACACACAGGCCTGGGAGAAGAAAAGTGAAGATACCAATAAGTGACGGGCCGCAGCGTGTCCCAGGCCCCTGAGGGGACTATTAGAGACCAACTTAAGCTTTTATTATTATAGGTGTTTGTTTTAGTCTATTGGAACGATGATAACGAATATTTTGACTATTGCTGCCTCCCCTGTCACCATTTTGCTGCCCATTCTTGCTAGCTGAACCCAATTTTTATTTTTTTAAATATGTTTATTGATTTCAGAGAGGAAGGTAGAGGGAGAGAGAGATAGAAACATCAATGATGAGAGAGAAGCATTGATCAGCTGCCTCCTGCGCGCCCCCCACTGGGGATCGAGCACACAACCTGGGCACGTGCCTTGACTGGGAATCGAATCGTGACCTCCTGGTTCATGGGTCGATGCTCAACCACTGAGCCATGCTGGCCAGGCTGAAGCCAATTTTATTTGGGCAGCCGTGTGCCCAGCCCAGAAGATAAGACATCATGTATCTAAACCAGGGGTGAGCTGGACGGTAAATAGTTCAGGCTTTGCAGGCTCTGTACAATGTCTGTCCCCCACTACTCAACTCTGTACTTCTCCTTGCATACTACTTTAGCCTGTTAGGTTGGGAGGGAATGGCCGGAGCTGTGGCAGCCTTTTGGGGGCCATGAGAGTATCACTGACACTCTGAGGATGATGGCATAGAAGGATGAAAGGTGTGAGGGTTGGATACTGCTGCTGAGCTGCCGGACCAACTCTGGCACCTTCCACCTCCTATTTGTTATATTTAAAAAGTAAAGGTCTTTGTGGCTGAAGTCATTGTGTTGTTTTTTTTTTAAAAAATATATTTTTATTGATTTTTTTTTACAGAGAGGAAGGGAGAGGGATAGAGAGTTAGAAACATCGATGAGAGAGAAACATTGATCAGCTACCTCCTGCACACTCCCTACTGGGGATGTGCCCGCAACCAAGGTACATGCCCTTGACCGGAATCAAACCTGGGACCCTTCAGTCTGCAGGCCGACGCTCTATCCATTGAGCCAAACCAGTTAGGGCTGAAGTCATTGTTAATTGGAATTTTCTCTTACTTGCAGCCAAAGGCAACTTGACTGAATCACAGACATGAATGCTGGGATGAGGTTGAGCACCCTAGTTTTCCTTGCGGGACCTACAGCCTCCCCTGGCCAGCTAGGACTGTCCATCAGGGTGCCAGCCCTTCTCTAACTGGGGGTTGAGTGTATGACAATCTCTGCCGATCAGACTGTTGTTCCTGGAGGCTTGAATCTAGGGAAAAGCCACACTGTCTTCTGATTCACACAGATTCTGCCAGCATCTCGCTGAAGTGACTGCCCATCAGTTCCTGCTGCCTGGATCCTCTATCCGAGACCTGGTGTCCAGCTTTTCCTTTGAATCGTGTGAGCTGCCCCGGCATCCGGCTCTTACGTAAGTTATTAGAGCGTCTGTTGCTCACACCTGAACATCACTGACTGATATGGCGTCCAAACCTTGCAGGCTTGGGGCAGAAGAGAGAGGGGCAGGTCTTTGGGCCAGAAAATGGTAAAAGGAGTTGTTATGGACGGCAAAGGGGTGTGTGTGACTTTTGTATCAAGGTAACCAGTTTTGACTAAATGGCCTTCAGAGACAAACAGACACATGGAGACAATAACAGAAAGTAAACTTGAATGGGAAACTCCCCAACTCCCTCTCTGCATGTTACGTGTCGAGATTCAATGGCCATTAATGGTGCGAGTAGTGGGGTGTCCATGCCTCTCACTGCGAGATACAAAGAAAGTAAAGGAAGAGGCAGGGCAGACACCCCCTCACGGGTGCCCTTGGGCAAGTTGTATTGCTTCTCTCGGCCTCACTGGGTCTGGGTCTGCGTCACTGCTCCCAAGTGCTGGGCTCATGGATGAGAACACACATCCCCAGGTTCTAACCAACAGGTCAAGATGGGCCTTTGGGGTCTGCACTTTAGACAGGTCCCCAGAGGGATCCTGGTGGACTTGGGGCTCGGGGACCAAGAGACCCTCCAAGGTCTTTTATGATCGAAATGCTTTCATCTCTGCCTGCACCCTGGCTTGTCAGGTAAGGTGCCCTGAGAGAAGGATGCTGTATGTGACCAGCCAGCCTGCTATGCCCAGGACTGAGGGGTTTCCTGGGATGCAGGACTCAGTTTTAAAACTGAGACAGCCCGGCCGGAGTGGCTCAGTTGGTTGAGCACTGAAAGGTTGCCGGTTCAATTCCTGATCAGGGTACATGCCTGGGTTGTGGGTTTGATTCCCAGTCAGAGAGCATATGGAAGGCAATCAATCAATGTTTCTCTCTCACATCAATGTTTCTCTCTCTCTCTCTCTCTCTCTCTCTCTCTCTCTCTCCCTCAGCATGTCTTCAGGTGAGAATTTAAAAAAACAAAAAGTAAAACTGAAACAGTTGCAGGCACACAGATCACCCTGGTGTGTGGTAATGTGCCTTGGGACTATGCTGAGGGCATGGCAGGTCTGGACTGCAGAGAATGAAGTCTGGGAGACAGACAAGTGGCTGGAAGGAGGTGGGAGTTAGCACCAGGCAGCAGGCGGTCTCTGAAATACAGAGTTCTCATCCTCCTCAAGCCACCCGTTATCCCTGATTGGAAAGTACAGTGGAAGGGGGGGGGGGCTTCCAGTTTTTGTCATCAGAAAGCTTTAACTCTCTACTGAGGAACAGTAACAAACCATCCTGTGGTGGCACAGGCTTCTACCCCGGCTTCTAAAACTCACAAGTAGGGCAAAGTACTCTGAGACACCTTATTTCTCTAAGTCCCTTCAGGATTGTGGCCGTGTCTTGTTCATCTCTGTATCTCCAGCAGCCCCCAAGGGCCCAAAGCAGGCGCGTCTAACACCAACCAGCCAAAAAAAAATGACAAAAAGCCAGTTGGTGGCTTCCCACCAGCTTAGGAAAAAGACCCCCAAATCCTAGCAGGCTTACAACACCTATGAGTCTGGTTCAGCTCACACCAGGCCTCCCACCCCCAGTCTCTACACTCCAGTCCCACTGGCCAGCTAAGTCTCTTCTTTCACAGGGCTTTGGTCATGCTGTTCCCTCTGCCTGACACACTGTTCCTTCCCCTCTGTACCAACAGAGCACATTCTGCAGCAACTCCTACTCACCCTACAGATTCCAGCTCAGGAAGGACACCTGCCCTGACCCCCTAACTAAATCCAAACTCCAAAATATGAAACGTCCCACGGAGGCACCGGGGCACAGCTGCCAACCTCTCCTTTCCGAGTCCTCACCTGCCACCCTCCTGGCTGGGAAGGTGGGCG